CATTTTTTTTTTCGATTGCAAAATTAGGCCCAATAACACCCGAATTTATTGACATTTAAAAAAAGGATACTCCGTTACCACAATGTAGGCCTACATATTTCCCTTCCAAAAATACATACCCATTTACCCTCCCCATAAATGAAAACTTCCCTTTCCCTCCGCCTCACCTACTGACCTTCCAACTGGAAAGTTTAGGAGCAAACTAAATTACTACCATGTACAGTTGTTTAAATGTACTTCGAAAATCACATATCTCATCTAGAGATCTTAATCATTGAGCCCTTTGCTATTGCAAAATTAGGTCGAATAGTTATCACTAGACCTACACCTTCCATTCACCTCCCCAACAAGGAAGGAAACCTCTACCCACACTACCCCAATGACTCCCAACAAGTACTTAAAGTACAGCAGTTTAAAACCGCCTAGATTAAAATCTTATCTGGAGCCTTTCATCATCCAGCTCTCCTACGCCAACCTCATTCATTGTATTATATTTATTACTCACTCACTCACTCATTATATTTACATACTTTGAGACTGGAGAGCCAAATTCTGTAATCGCTCCATAAATTTTTATTTCAATATTTTGCCAATAATTACCAATCATGCTTTTATCATTCAATATTTTATTAACAGTAATGCAATACTATAATAGTAATAACAACATCAACAATAATAGTAATAATGAATGATAATAATAACCAATAGTGATGATTGTAGTGATAATTATGCCGTATTAATGTTGTATTACCGCATAGGATCTGTGGTAGACTACTGATACTGATAATTAAAAATGACGATATAATACTAATACTAACATTAACAATAATAATAAAAATAAAACGTATAATAAAAATATAATAACAATATAATAATAATAATGATAATAATTATATAATAAATAATTATATAATAAATATTATGATAATAATAATAACGATAATAATAATAACAATGAAATTATTATTATCATTCATAATAATAATAATTATTATTATTATTATTGTTATTATTATTAGTAATAATAATAATATGTTGTTGTAGTAGTAGTATTACTATTTGCATATTAAAGGTATTAATTTACATTAATAATACAATAATAACAACAACAACAACAATAATAATAATAATAGTAACAAAACGACATTTTGGTGGTCATATGAATTAGAAAACAAAAACCATAATATAACAAATATTTAGTACCTCTATGTAATTTTGCAGTATGTAAAGATATTAGAACTTCATCCCCACCCACACTAAACTTCTCTAATCCCATACTTTAATTCGCCCAAATGATTTAAGTTGTAGATTACATTACACCAGATAATGTAATTTTGAAGTAAGCTTATAGTTTTATACACCTACATTTTTTTTTTCGATTGCAAAATTAGGCCCAATAACACCCGAATTTATTGACATTTAAAAAAAGGATACTCCGTTACCACAATGTAGGCCTACATATTTCCCTTCCAAAAATACATACCCATTTCCCCTCCCCATAAATGAAAACTTCACTTTCCCTCCGCCTCACCTACTGACCTTCCAACTGGAAAGTTTAGGAGCAAACTAAATTACTACCATGTACAGTTGTTTAAATGTACTTCGAAATCACATATCTCATCTAGAGATCTTAATCATTGAGCCCTTTGCTATTGCAAAATTAGGTCGAATACCAATCTAATTTAATCAGAATCAAAACAAAGTTAGTTATCACTAGACCTACACCTTCCATTCACCTCCCCAACAAGGAAGGAAACCTCTACCCACACTACCCCAATGACTCCCAACCAGTACTTAAAGTACAGCAGTTTAAAACCGCCTAGATTAAAATCTCATCTAGAGCCTTTCATCATCCAGCTCTCCTACGCCAACCTCATTCATTGTATTATATTTATTACTCACTCACTCACTCATTATATTTACATACTTTGAGACTGGAGAGCCAAATTCTGTAATCGCTCCATAAATTTTTATTTCAATATTTTGCCAATAATTACCAATCATGCTTTTATCATTCAATATTTTATTAACAGTAATGCAATACTATAATAGTAGTAACAACATCAACAATAATAGTAATAATGAATGATAATAATAACCAATAGTGATGATTGTAGTGATAATTATGCCGTATTAATGTTGTATTACCGCATAGGATCTGTGGTAGACTACTGATACTGATAATTAAAAATGACGATATAATACTAATATTAACAATAATAATAAAAATAAAACATATAATAAAAATATAATAATATAATAATAATAATAATGATAATAATTATATAATAAATAATTATATAATAAATATTATGATAATAATCATAATAATAATAATAATGATAATAATAATAACAATGAAATATTATTATTATTATTATTCATAATAATAATAATTATTATTATTATTTTTATTATTATTATTAGTATTACTATTTGCATATTAAAGGTATTAATTTACATTAATAATACAATAATAATAACAACAACAACAACAACAATAATAATAATAATAATAGTAACAAAACGACATTTTGGTGTTCAGTGGAGTGGAGATGAAATTGTGATTCAGTAGCTGGCATCATTTTCCAGTGCTACATGCGATTCTGAAGACAATTAATTGAGTATCGATGTGTAATCACGACGACCTTCAACATCATGTTTGCATCATGGAGGAAACATGTCGAACCATGGTCATACCTACATGATCGAGAGGACCGACAAGGAAGTATAACTTGGTATATTAATTACAGTCTAATATCCACATTGCAAAATTAGGTTCAAAACAGTCTCCCATAATTGGTAACACTGCAAAATTAAATAAAAGTTTCTTTTTAGATTCAAACTTTCTGGTAATTCATCTCGTCCCTTTGAAGTCGTAGGCATTTTTCCCTGAATTAATTAGAGTGGATACAGATAATTTAAAATGAAATATAATACAAGTGAGTTTTTAATGTAATAATTACAATATTGGAAATGAAAACGTCACGAAGGACTCTTGAACAGTATCATCCAGATAAGAATGTACGTGCGTTTATGGCATTTACCATAATTAGATCTTTTAGATAAAAGTTTATAAACCAACATTTATAAATAACATATATTAATTACCGGTATCTCGTGTTAATATTTCTTTTTTAATAGCTTCCAATAAGACCAAATAGAAGAAATTACTTGTTTAGTGTCGCATCACAACACAATTTTAGATGGAGAGGGGTGGCTTTTTTCCCTTTGTTTTTGTTTTTTTAATTATACAATATCACTAATCAAATTAAATGTGTTAAAAGTAATCATTTTCAATAGGTTGGTGAAAGCACTCTTATAATTCACTTAAAATAGGTCTATACTTAATTTGATTAGAAATTTCTATTTTTATAAAAAAAAAAAAAAAAAGAAATCCCGCCTCCAAGCTTTTTATTTTGCTAGAAAATTCAGGTGGGAGTGGTTTTGGCCTATTATCAATAGGCCTACAAACATTATTTAAAAATAAATAAATATAACAATCATACGACGCTGTCCGAGTTGCCTAACATCAATGATTATAAGGATCGATCACAATAATTACATTATTGAGGATAGTAATATTAGGTCGATCAATTAAAGAAACCATTACACTACATATAATGATAATAACAATAATAATAAATCTAAGGACCCTATAATGAATGATGTTGATTCCAAGAAAAAAATAATAAGTTAATAACAATAAGTTTCTTTATTTTAAAGCAATTGAACCGATTATTGATCATTGTTGTTTGTTTTTATAAGCGAGAATCAGATTCACTTAACATTGTAACATAAACCAAACTTAATCTTACAGGCCTATTTTTATAAGTTCTAGCAGTGGTACGACAATCTGTTTAGATTGTCTTAAAAGAATGTTACTTTTTTTTTGTCGTACGTACCCTCCTTCAATAAATAATTAAATAGATAATGGTCCAAAAAAGTGAAAAGAAATAGTCGTGACAACGGTCGTACAGGCTATTCAGCAAAAACCCCCTAAAAAAGGAAGCGATTTGATGGCATACACTACACGCAAATTCAAGATAAAAACCAATGAATAACTTTACAAAAGATGTAGGCCAACTAACAACTGGAGAACAACTTCTCCCCACTGACCCGAAACTTCGCATAACTCCACCGCCGAACTGCCAGTAAATGTCAACACAGTTTTATCTTATACTGCTTATGCGGACGTAATATGATCACCAATATATTCCCGCCTTATTATTGTTTACCACCTGACCTATTCCGTCTTGTTATTGCTAGCCTAATTACTGTCGTTGTAAAGGAAAGTAAGTTTCAACTACCCTTCCCATCATGCTCACTGTTTCGCGCTGTAAAGTGACTTGGGATTTTTTCAACGTAAATTAGCTTTCACATATTTTTTACAGATTGTTTATGGTGGATAATAAGCTGTGAAGTTAAGTTCAACATAAGGTACATGCTCGATTGTATAACCTTCCGTTACTTTATGTCGTTTAATGAATACATGACATATTTAATGATTGTTTACCCCAGAAGAAAGTGTTGCAAATTTGTGTCCCATAGGCTCCGATTATCCAGACCACAAAATACTAAAATTCTCCGGGAACTAAATTTCGTGTTACACCGGACGCACTCTTATAGACTTGCCACAAGTCTCTTATTTTTTTTAACATATTATTTTTCTCATTCTGGACAGCGCCACCAACGAGAAAGTTAATTTAGAGATGGACGGAATAAAAGAAATCGAGTATGGGACGCCAATTAATTAGGTATGGCGCGCACTAAGTGCAATAAAGAGTGAGTAACCTAAAATTAGGGCCTGGAACCCAGGCTAGCACTCTTAGTGAAAAAGTTTTCCTCCATAAGTGGAAAAGGAAGGGCGCCTTTTGCGTCTGGATACACTTAGCAACAGAAGGGCGCCCTGTACGTTGGGCACGAAGTATAGGAAACTTGCATGGTTAAAAAGAAGGGCGCCGCCTACGTTGGGCACGACTTCCGCCTCATTTTTACAACGCGAGAACTCTATCTTATATTTCTAGTATCTTTGCGGTGGCTCAACTTGTCGGCGGCTCAACCGGTCATATCCCGTGCAAAAGTGCATTAGCGCCGTTTTTATGATTATGTAGCAGTTTTATACCCTCATGAGGTAATATTTTAATCATTTTTGCACCTGAGTGGTCCCGTGTGGTATATAGTAGTAGGACCCTAGCCTTAGCCTAGGCCGAAGGGAGGCGTAGGCCTACATGCGGCCTACTGTAGGCCTAGCCTCAGACTAATAAACTGGGTCGGGGGCCTGGTCTAGGCTACCCTGCCCTATGGTATGGAACCCAGGGCTCCAATTTCCTTCTGTGCTGGCCGGATGAGTGCCTGGCTAACTAGGCCTAGGCCGCCTAAGTAAGTCCTGTCCTAAGTAAGGCATAGGTATAGCCTATGAAGTAGACCGTGCTTAATTGTGTCATCCTAAACTTTGTGGTTTAATTTATTATTTTAAGCCTCTTTGGCCTGTCGTCAGTCCGAGATATTACTAGGCTAGGGTAAGACTAAAGCTAGGCGATCACTGGACCGACGGTCATCAGCCGACACGATTCTGTGGAGAACGCAAAGATCATTTTTAATGACGATTCATTTATACTGTCACTGACAATCAGCAGACAGCACCACGTCGTCTAACGTTTACAGGGAGAGAAGTTGGATTTGTCAGCCTCCATCGTGCGATGCAGTGAGTGCCCGGCTTTAGACTGGTTTTCAATCAACGTTTTGTCCTTTTTCCGTTGTAAAATATTTTGTAATTTAGTTTTATGGTTTAATTCTTCTTCAATATTTATTTTACCAATAATAACAAATAATCAATCATATACATAATAAACTTGCCAATGTAAATAGTAAAGCATATGAAAGAATTATGAAAAATCTAACAATTTTGTTTAGAACAAGATAGTAGTTTTTGAAATTATCATTAATCAATGATGGTACTTAACAGGGCCGGCGGAACGTTTTTCAAAGTGGGGGGCCCACTTATAAGCAGGCACGTAACAGGGGTCTTGGGTTGGGGGTGAGGCGGGGCGGCAAAGGTAATAATTTTCCCGGTTAGTAATTTATGACTTGGGGGGATACCCCCCCCCCCCCCCTTTGAAAAAAAAAAAAAAAAAAAAAAAAAAAATCTCTGTGTACCAGTACACACACAGGCCTATTTACTGTATTAAGAATGAGAAAAATTGCCTGGCCGTTTACAAAAGGGGAAAACCTTGAATATTGATTAAAATACACTTCAGAAGTCGGCAAAACTCATTTCCCGCCATCTAAGAACCAACATTTTCCCGGGGAGGACCCCCGGCCCCCGTTTGATTTTTTAAATAACTTAGAAGGCAAAGGAGGGCAAGCACAAGCCTTAACCCTAAGAAATGCGCGCTAAAAATTTTTGTGTTGTTAATTCTAATTTCGTCGCAATTGATCAAAACTCCCTAAATGTGCAATTTTTAGAGGAAATTGGCCTACCTCAACAAGAAATGCTTTTATGTTATATATGACCACACTCGTTTTTTTGAACTGAATATAAGCATTTTCCTTATGGATTTATTTATTACAAACATATTCTTTCAACATCATTACACATTGAGGCCCTTCTTTTATAAACGATCTATCCTTAAATTTTCTTTCTTGAGTTTGGGAATATGTGTTATAATTTATAAGGCAAAGGAGAGCAAGCACAAGCTTTAACATTAAAAAATGCTCGCGTAGCGCGCGAAAAATGTTGTTTTCTAATTTCGTCGGAATTGATAAAAAATGTGCAATTTTTAGAGGAAATTGGCCTACCTCAACAAAATATTGAATTTAAAATTTGAGATTTTCAGGCACTTTCCCGGGTGAAAAGGGCATTCAATGGGGAAAGATTTTCCACAGATGGATATTTTCCCCTTGTTCCCCGGTGGTTACACCACTGCGGAGAATACCTGGCGGCTTAGATCAAATGCGATATGGACACTTTTTGAAGTGGAGAAGGGGTTGCAGGCCGGGGTATTGTGATATCTGTTCATTATATCTTCCTTTTTATTCTTGTCTTTATTTTTCTCTTTTCTTTTTCTTTCCCCTTCTTTCTCTTTCCCTCCCTCTCTCCTCTTTCTTTTCTCTTCTTACCCAGCCCGGTACGACAGCTTGGTCAGCCCGGTAAAAACCGTCGGGGGGGGCAGTCTGCCCCCTGGCCCCCGCCTTTTACGCCACTGCTTATAAGATGAATGGGATATGAATCATGCAGATCTGGAATCAAATCTAGGTGGTGGGGTCAACATTCCTCCCCTGGGAAAATTTTGATTTCTAGATGGCGTGAAATGTGACCTTTCTCGACTTTTGAGCTAGGTGTCTAATGACTTTGTTCTTCAAAATTCAAGGTTTTCCCCCTCATGAAAACGGTAAGGTAAACTTTCTCAGCAGCCATACAAAAATCTCCAGACGTTATATATTTTTCGCCAAAAAGTGGGGGGCCCCCGCTTCCGCCGGCCATGCTTAGAGTGAGATGCTAGGCCTCTGGAAGTCCGCCATTGGTAGTTGCCAGATTCTCAGAAGTTTTCATTTGAAATTTTTCGAAAATGGTGTATGCAGAAGAAAAAAGGACTGGGACCGTCTGGTCTAGTAAGTAAACTAGGAAGCGCTCGTGTTTTTGGCACTAATAGGGTATTACCAAAGTGGTGGGGGAGGGGGAAGCAAGTGTTTTTATCAGACTGATATTTAATAATCAGATTTTGCAAGTAAACAGGGGTGCGCTTGTAAACTCAGTTATACACCTGGATCAAAAGCCCATACCTCACCCAGTCATTCACACAAAGCCAGTTAAGTTTACGAAAGTGGATGCGCTAGTACGGCTTGGGAATGCATCTTTAACTTTGTTCAAGGGCGGATCCTGCCCGGTAAGAAAGACACTGCAATTACGACATCTACTAACGTACCTATTTTTCCATTTACAGTTGATTTTACCAAAACATATTGAAGTAATTGAATGCTGCCTTCAACTATAGTATCTGCAATGGCATCAGTGGGCTTCAGAACCAATAGATTACAGACATTTCAGGTGGATATTGAACCATTCTCACACCAAGACTTCAATGAAAAAGGTTGGTAACACAATAGGCCTAATCAAATCAATTTTTCAATTATCTATAAATTGTCAATCAATTTTTACTGTACAGTATCTTTGATTATCCTTCACAGCCCTTGATCAATCATGTTTATATTGTGTTTTTAATTGTTGGAATATTGAATACAATATATAAATTTTTAATATATTTTTTTTCACATGAATCATAGGTTTTGTTTGGCCATGGAGAATTGCAAAAATTCACCAGCATACAAGAACAGCAGGATTGCGAGTAACCATGAAGGACCAACTAATCATATTTTTTACAAATCATACTATATATATTCGTCATCTGAATGCGAACATAAATAAGAAATTGAACACAAAAGAGCTGCTATTGTCACAACCAATATATGGACTGTTTACTGTATTGTATTGTGGTAACTCCTCTATGCTGTTTGAGACGAAGATCATATTGAGAAGTCAACGAAGATGCATCAGCACATCCCAGACACAGCCAGTCTGTGTGAGCCGTGAAACCAGGAAACCAACTCCATTTCCAGACTCAATTAAGGAAATATTTTTATATGCTGCACATGCGACCAAACCAGATATCCCACCAATGTTACCTGGCCCTCAGTCCCCAGAACAGCGAAGTTATAGTCAGCAGTTTATTATTGATGAAACAGATCTTGATTCGAATGGACACACAAATAATACTATTTATATTAAATTCTGTTTTGATGTTGCCAGCAAAGCTATAACTGATGGAATTTTTACACATATTAATCATGATATGCTAAATTCCAAACTAAGCGAGTTTACTGTCCATTTTGTTGGTGAAACACGGGAAGGGGATAAAGTAACATTCACCGTTTGGCAAGATTTGGGAAATAAACGTCTGCTGCATTTTCAGGCAAATACTGATGACAGTATTGTTTGTAAATGTCAGTTCTCTTTTAATTGCCAGGTTCTTTCCTTATTATGAATCGCATCATAAAGTTGGACTTGCACAGTTTACATAAACGTATATATTCCTAGCCTTTCTCTTGTATTGGTAAATTGTTTGATTGACCACTTAATGTCCGGTTTGTTGGGTGGTAGTATCTATCAGAGAACGCATAATGAATGTGTAGATAATGATTGTTAATATCTCAATTTTACTATTTAATGCAATATTGAAAGAAGTACAGTATTTAAATATATATCATTGTTAAATTAATTTTTGACTATTGAAATTGTATTAAAAAGAATTAGATGCGTAACAGTTTATTGTTATTTTTTTCTGGCATTGTTTAGCTGAAACAAGTAATACTGTAATTGTTTAGTGGAGGAATTTAGCACACTAGCACATGACGAAACCACTTATCAGATCTGCTCAAGTCACCAAATGTCATCAGCTTCTTCTCGACTTGATTTTTTCACACAGTGGTACAGGACTCATTATCTGCCTCTGTTGTTTGACAAGAACATAAATGAAATTACAGTACATATAAAGTTTAAAAATTAATATATAGGGTGTAGATTAAGAAGATGTATTTTCCATCAATAAATGATAAATTGTGGAAAAATTAGGGGTGACCTCAATGGGGATCAGGTTTGTGTGTGTGTGGGGGAGGGCGATGTCCACAACGAGAGCAAAGTAGTGGGCATGGTTGGGGGTCACTCCAAATTTCTGAAGAGTGATCAAGAGGCAAAGCCCCAAAAAATATGACACTTTAGGGGTTTCAAATGCTTATTTAATCGATATAAGAGTCTACTTATTAATATGTAGAAAATTTTTCTCCGACATATTGCGGTTTTCTCCCCGACTGGGAGAGGGGGGCCTTACAGTGGGCGGGACGTATTATTTTTTTTCCTATACAGTTAAGGCAGAAAATATAGAGGGTGCTATTTTAGATCATTTAGGTAAACTGATACATGAATGTGAATGTTTGCCTTTCCCCTATCGATTTTCGAAAGCAGTACAGTATTCACCGCTTGTGGAATATGAAAGCTATGGGGTATACAGTAGTAGTAAGGTACGCCAAAATTGCTTGGTAGGTGGTCAAGACAGTATTCAACACTGAAAATTAATGAATTATTAGTATTGTAATTATAATATCCCTATGCCTAGACACTGTTTACGCACAGCATGGTCTTTAAAAGTATAAAAAGCAGCGTTGAATCTGCTCGGTTATTTGAGCAGGGTAACGTATAGCAATACATAATACTGCTACTACTGATTCTGAAGAATATAAACGTTTAGAAATGTTCTGACTAAGATATTAAGACAATTCTATGTAGGCCTATTAATGTTCACTTCTCAGAATCATTTCGTTCATATGAATAAAAGTAAGTCATAGATTTATATAGCAAGCAGATATATTATAAACATTAATTTTACCAAATCCGACGATATTCTGCACACGATATGACGAAAGCCTACTGTTTATTAAAGGCTGTCTACCCAATTAAAAAAATTGAATAGCTTATTCTTGAGCATTTACGGTATGCTTAACATTAAAAAAAAAAAAGAAATGGTAATCAATAAAAGAAAATACTGTAGCAAGCCTGGTACAACCGCTAATGTAGTAACAACCGTTAATGTAGCACACTCCACAGCTTATGTAGTAAAACTTCCCGCTAATGTAGAAACGCCAACAACTGGCGATAGTTACATTAGCTGTGAGGCAATTTTCGTACTACATTAGCTGGGGTTGATTTTCTTTTTACTACATAAGCTGTTGGTGTTTCTACATTAGCGAGGAGTTTTACTACATCAGCTGTGGAGTGTGCTACATTAGCTGTTGTTTTCTACATTAGCGGTTGTAACAAAGCCTCCTATTGCTATCACGATTACACTCATCAGTAGAAATATCTCACAGAATGAAAATACTGGTAATTCGGCCATCTGATAAGTGAGAAAGACTTAATTGATATTGATTGTACGGAGACAGAACATTTTTGAAAGTGGGGGGGGCCATTTCATAAGGTCCAGTATGCGAGCATCTAGTGGGGGCCAGGGGCTGCCAGGGCCCCCCGGAGGGGGTCCGGGGGCGAACCCCCTTTCGAAGCTACGGATATTTTACAAAGTTTGGTGAATTTTATAAGTTATTTTATAGGCATCAAGTTACTGTAATATGATTTTATATTTGTTGCAATTTCCAGTGGCGGATCCAAGAATTCAAAATAGATGGGCCCAGTGAGGGTACTTTCACAGATAGAAGATCTACTCTCTTAATGTGAAAGAGTGAATTTTCACTCGAAAAGAGTGTCTACAGGGACCACTCCAATTTCACTCTTTCTAGAGTGAAAATTCACTCTTAAATGAGTAAATATTATTTTTACAATAGTGAAAAATTACTAAAATTCACTCTGAATGATTGAAATCTCACTCTTTTTATTTCACTCCATCAGAATTTAATTATTCTTTAGGCTAGAAGTCAGTAGTACCTAGGACAAAGCAAGGAGGTATAAAATAGGATTGGAGTAGCGTAAATATATTAGTAATTTATATAATAAAATTTGTCCACTCATTTAGAAAGTAAGGGAAAATTTCTGTGCAACTTTTTCAGAAATTTAGACCTTATCCTACGTCTTAACATACAATGTATCCAATGTATTACACTATCAATTTTCTGCACAATTTTGAATAAGTTTTTGATGTATCCTCTGCGCAAACGAAATGCTTGACAGTATGGTTTGTGAGTACCTTCGTATAAAAAAAGGTAAAAACAAATATTAAAATCAATGAAATTCATGATGTGTAGCCTATTATTAATAAATGAATATTATTTTGTATTTTTTTAGAAAGCAAGAATAGATAATCAAGAATCAAGAATATCCAATGCCTTGACTTCAACTACCTGGTTCTTAACTAAAAGGCCAAGCCAAAAATGTCTTCAACTAGCACAAGGGTATTTAAAGTTGGTATTGGGAGATTTGTACAACAGGACTTCAACCAAAAAGGTACAGATATTCTTGTTTGAACACTAAAAAGAAAAAAAAAAGAAAAAAAAAGAGAATTTTAATACCTTGTTAGGCGAACTTATTATTTTAATAGACCGATTTGGTGATGGGCGTCTTGTGACCTACCTGTAACTTGGGTGTTAGATGTAAACATGGACTGGCACCGCGGTGTTTTACATGGAGAATGCTATTGCGGCCGTCCTTTGTTATTGCTGTAAAGATCATCATAATTCCCAGCAAACTACCAAATTGATTGGAATTTAACTTAAGATATTAAAAAAGTCTCACCTTGAGTTAATCATATTATTCTGTAATATTTGTCTTTCAGTGTTTTTCTGTCAATTTTAATTGCAGCTTATGTTCGTGCAATGAGACTTGCTCTGTTACATCAGTATACCCGTTTAGCAGGCTTAAGGGTATCGATGAAAGAACACCATGGACCCTTCTTCAAGAATTATACTTTCTTTATTCGTCATCAATGGGCAATGCTAAATGAGGACATTATCAGTGACATGATACCACAGCCTATACATGGACTGTATTCTGTGACATATCTAGGTAGCTCCTCAATTTTATGCAAATCTCAAATAATCTTAGAAAAACAGCAGAAATGTATCAGCACTTGTATCGCACAAGCTGTCTGTGTTAGTCTTCAAAATAGGAAACCTGTTTCATTTCCAGTTGCAATCAAAGAAATATATTCATATGCTGCTCTGGGGGCTAGACCCCAGATTGCTCCTTTATTAGCAACCCCAGAGCCTACACAACAGCAGATCGGCATCCAGAAGGCTTTTATTGGTGAGACTGATGTTGATGAGAATGGTCACACAAACAATACTGCATATTTACAGTTTTGTAGCGATGTTGCCAGAAAAGCTGCAACTGATAAAATGTTTACGTATGTTACTCCTGATATATTAGATTCTAGATTAAAGAAGTATACTATTCATTATATTGGTGAAACAGTGCAAGGAGATGAAGTCACTTTCACTTCGTGGCAGGATTTACAAAATGAATATTTGCTTCATTTCGAGGCTAAGAAAGATGATAGAGTTATTATTAGATGTCAGTTTGGATTTTAATCCAAAATTGCATTCTTCTCTATGAATTTGCATTAATGAATGCTACAGTACAGTATAATGAGAGTCAATATATAACTGTAGCATACCGAGGAACAACAATTACAAAATAAAGCACTCAACATTGTATTAAAATTCAGTTTAAAAGATGCTGACACATTAATTCTTAATTCTGTTTCACATGGTTTGGAAAAACCAATGTTGATATCAAAAGCTCAGTAAAAAGTCGGATTAAATTTGCCAACCAATGAAAACAATGTTATTTGCAGGAGTTGTTAAAACTAACAAAAGCAAAATTAATAAAATTGATTGTAAAATGGCTAATTCCAGATGAAAGTGTCAAATTCATACATTTTAAAAGTACTGTACAATTTCTATTTTCAAAATATAGTTTTATTATACAGTATAACGTAGACAAATTAAACATTGAGGAGTAGTTTTGTGTGATTTTTTGTAGTGCTATGTTATATAAGTTTGAATTTTGGGAAGTGGAAGTATCATTTCACTATAGGCCTATTTATGCGCTTGCTTTGGTTTCCTCCTTGACTTCAATAATATGCCAAAAATAGAAAAAAGCGATTTTTATTTATTACTTTTTTTTTTATCAATTCCCCCAGATGGAGGGTCTGTAGGCGTGCCCCAGCATGGCTGGCGCTGAGGTAAGAAAATTTATGATTTTGTTTTCTTTTTATCCTCATTTTTTTTTAATTTATAAAAAAATTTTTGGGGGTAGGGGGAGGTGGTTGAGGGTATATCGGCATCCCCTTAAACCTGCCACTGAATATACTGTACTACCACTTTTCCCATACTATGGGTTGCAACCCAATAATGGGTCTCCAAACTTTGCTAAAAACTACAAATTGTCAACTTGTGCTAATTTACAGTCAGTGATGTAAAGTCTTTAACAGATCTGACGACCTGAAAACAGTGTTTTAGGTAAATCCTCAGTAGAAAAATATTTTATTACATGCCCACAATAATATCTTACCTTACTACACCATAATTAAAATTAATTGTTTGTGTAAAAATTAACGAGTACAGTATGTATTGACATAAACTTAAAACAGAAATGCTGTCCTGTCATGTGACCTATAAGAATAGCATTTTTCCCTAATAAATTTAAAATGGGCCCATAACCATTATTATAACCATGCAAATGCAAACAATAATACAGCTAAAAGTGTTTACAGTATTTTGGTTGGTTGATACAATGGTATCAACCAACAGGTACAGGGCTAAAATTGAGGTTTAAGTTTATTAAATGTATTATTGAAAGATCAAAAATATTCTGCAAAAAGAGCCGATCGTATATTTTGGGTCAGTCATGCTTAAGGCCAAGCAAAGTAAGTCTCTCGTATATTAAAAGTCTCGTTTTCCCACTTCGGCGTATGGGGACGATAATCAGTGGCTGCTCCAAAGGGATGGGGACCAGCCGACCTGCCCTTCCCCCTAAATTTTTCACAATATAAAAAAATAATTGAGAACATAAAGAAAATTTTATTCAAATTTAAGTTCGAGAGTGCTATTTCCAGGCATCTAGAGGTGCCATAAATCCTAAAAGTTCTTACTTTAGCCCAACGCAAGTGGGTACATCCTCTATCTGTAAAATTCCCTTTCCTTCTCGGATCTGCCTGATAAAAGGTAAGCAAAATTCAATGTTATATCCATGTCGAGTGTTCATCGTTAAACATTTGGTGGTATATTATTTACTATCAAATTACTGTATTAGACGAGTCGTGGCTAGTGTGGGAAATCAAAACTTCAGTCCTGGAGAAAAAAGCGGGGCTATAATACAGTGAAAATTGGATTTCCTGTGTACTAGAGCACAGTATGACCAATCAAATTATGCTAAGGACTGATGGGAAATTATGCTAAATTATGCTAAATTTCACATTTTTGCTTATATTTGCAATACATTCCACTTAACTGTAAATCCAAAACAAGCTATTGTATTGGTCACGCCCGATCGAATGTTCGAAATTGAGGGTCGGTATATTAAGTTTTTTTTTGTCTATAACTATATTTTTAATGAGCTAAAAATGATAGGATGGGCCTATCTTGCGACGGTAGGCGATGCGACACTGTTATGCGATGGTTTTGTTCTTCAATATAGATTTTAAAATGATCTTTGTTGTATTTTTGTGTATTTCCTGTTTTTGAGGCATAACCACATTATTTGTGGTTTATTATTTTTTGTTGGCCTAATTCAGAGGTAAATGATAAAAACGCTTGCCAAGTAGGAAAGTGCATAGGCCTGTATATACCATTCCCAGGAGTCACATGGCGATGGTGATTGATGATGACATAAAGGCATGGGCGTCGATCAATGGGGACAATGATACGTGGCCCACTTTTTAAAAGTTTCTTTGGGACATCATTAATTGTCACCCACCTCCCTCCCTCAATTTTTACCAATCTTCCATAGTTAAAACCCCCACTTTTCAAAGGGAGTGGATATTACAACAACGATTACGAATGACTCATGAATTTTGTCTGTTGTTGACTTGTCCTCTGTTCCAATTGTGGTGTGTATTTCCAGACCAAAACCGAGTAAAAACGCAATTGTTGGTACATTTGGTAACCATCTCAGTAAACACTCGATTGATGTTATGGGTGCAACGGTTATAAGAGGCTAAATTTATTATGAAAACAATGTAGGCCTCGTTGTTACAATTGGGAGCGTGTAAACCTATTAGGCCAATATTTCTACAAAAGTAAACAATTTCTACTATAAACGATTTATTCCTTTTGTATACAGTATGAAGACCCGTATATACTAGTGTTAAATATATTATCGGCGTATATAAATTTATATAGCCGTTATTAAATAATAATTATATCTTTGACACGAATAGTCTATTTCGACTTATTTAAGTAGTGATACCACAAGTTTACGGACTTAGATGTTACGTTGACGCTATCTCGCCATCCAGGACGTCATGATAATAAAAAAATTTAGTAAATCACCTTTATGATTGTGAAATAAAAATGCAAACTAATGTTTTGTGTACTTCCTATCTCCCTAGTCCTGATTGATCGTAAGATAGACGGTAGTATTTCCACTTAGTACATAGTACAGAAACTATAATTAGAGTGACTGTTCTAAGTTCATCCATGGAGTAACATGGTTTATCTTATTTGTTTTTCATGGTTCGAATACGTCACAAGTAAATCAGTAGATAATAAATCATTATTTTTATGATAGTTTGCACGAAATATTATTAGCGGGCATGATGATGATATACCGGTACCAGGAATTGAAAAACTTTATGTTGAGTGATTTCAGTAGCAAGGGCTCCCAGCCGGCCACCCTCCCTAAATTAAAAATGGAGAAAAAAGAAAATTATATTCAAATTTATGTCTGAGAGCAAGAGTGCCATTTCGCCTTCTAGAGGCGCCATACTCGTTTTGGGGCTGAGGTGGTAGTCTACACTCCATCTGTAAAAGTCGTGACCCCTTTATTTCGAATTCAGTGCTCTATCGCCAGCCAAGGCTTTGGCTACGGCCTAGACTTCTTATTTTACAACGTCCCCCCCCCCCACTTCCCATCTGATCGACGCCCTTGCATAGGCGGTGGAAATTTGAGTGATTGAAGGACTAATGACATCGAAATAAGCCCATCAAAATGTGGCCAGAGCAAGCTGTGTATCTTTTTTTTCATGGTAGTGGGGATAGGGGCATTCGAAAATTTGAAGAAATAATACCCATATCATCCCTATCAACATCATATTCAAAATACAGCACCAACAAATTCTTCAAGATTGTTATCACAAACTTTTAATAACACTTGTTCCATGACTTAACATAACATTCGCTCTTCATTTAGGCTTATTTTAATAGGCCTAAATGAAGAGCGAATATTATGTTAAAATGTTGATTAAAATGTTGATTTCTCACAAACATTTCGTTCATATGAATAAAAGTAAGTCATAGATTTATATAGTAAGCAGATATTATAAGCATTAATTTTACCAGTTCGACGATATTCTCCACACATGATGTGACGTAGGCCTACTGTTTATTAAATGCTGTCTACTCAATTAAAAAAATTGATTAGCTTATTCTCGAGCATTTACGGTATGCTTAGCATGAAAAAAAGAAATAGTACTCAATAAAAGAAAATAGCAAGCCTCCCATTGCTATCACGATTACACTCATCAGTAGAAATATCTCACAGAATGAAAATAATTCGGCCATATAAGTGAGAGAGACTTAATCGATATCGATTGTATGCCAGCAGTAAAGCAAAACTGATTTAATATACATTTGATTTGCGTTTAATTGCCACAAAGCAAACAATCACTGGAAATCTAGACCCATAAAATGTCATTGCAAACCATGGAATGATATGCACGTTCACATAAAACAGAGCCATGAAATATTTGCGTAACTATAGTACATAATTGTACAGCACATTAAACCTTTTACAAAAAACTCCAGTCCATGCAGAAACTAAATTATTAGTAAAATAGGACTGCATTAAATTGTAACATATTTACATCTAACCACATTACACTATTAAACAACTTTAGTGCAATGACTTGTTTACTTAATAATATTTAATAATTGTAGCACGGCCGAATTAGACAATTAATTGGCCTACGTACCGTATTTAGTCGTCCATAAGAATTTGTCTAAATACTTGGAGTATGTATTATACTTTCTCATATCAATTACTTATATATATTTTTTTAAATTGCAAATGTATAGGCCTATAGGATAACACGGAGGTACGGCAAAACCTATCATTGTGTCCTTATAAACCGTAAGAACTCTAACCTGCTTATGTAATATTTCGTTACATTTATAGGCCTAATTTGCTTTGAATGTTAATGAGTTCATGCAGTAAATAAAAATAACTTTAATCAGGAAACAGTTAAATTACACTGTTCCCTGGTTAAATAAACGATAATTTAGCATAACACATGAGATAAATGGGGAAAAAATGTTAGACGTCATAATCATTCATTTAAAACAAATCGAAAACATGTTGGTATATCACAGGAGGTCAAGCACCTAACATTTTACACTGGTGGTGTGAAGCATTGTATCTATACTGTAATTTATAGAATGTTTGTTATATTTCTTTCTTCATTATATTTATAATGACATAATTTGAAACGATTTAAAAAATCAAATGATAATTACGTGTAAAGCAGGACAACCCTTTCATTGGAGTACGTTAGGCCTACCTAAACCCAACAGCTGCGGAACTTTTTATGAAAGTGGGGCGTCACTCCATAAGGGGTCCAGTTTGCGAGCGAAGGAGAGGAAGCTACGGATGTTTGGCGAAGTTGGGTGAATTTTATTAGTTATTTTATAGGCATCCAGCTACTGTAATATGACTTCATAATTGTTGTAATTTCCAGTGGCTGATCCAGGAATTCAAAGTAGAGGGGGGGGGGGGGGCTGGGAGGGGGGGGGGGGGGGGTGTAT